CCGGAGGTGACCACATGGCACGGCAGACCTCTTCTGACCAGCCCGCTGCTCCCCTCAGCAGTGTACTTCGTCGATCTGCCTGTTCTGCTCCCCACTCTGTCTCTGGTGAAGCCTCTCACCGCCCCTGAGCCTCTGGCCTGTACCCCACTTCTGTGTGTACAAATAAATAAATCTTTAAAAAAAAAAAAATGACACCACCAAGGAACCATAGTAACCTTGGAGTAATTTAACACAAAAACCTAGAAATCTCCAGTCTACCAGATAAAAAGTTCAAAATTGACATATTAAGGAAACTTAATGAGCTACAGCAGAGGAATCGGGAAAATAACATACAACAAAATGACAAGTTTAACAACTGAAATCATAAAAAAGAATGAAACAAATACAGAAACTGAAAAATAGTGAATGAAATGAAAAATACAACAGAGAGCAGTGACAGCAGAAGATAAAGCAGGAAAAAAAAAAATTACAAGTGAGGCCGAAAACAGGAACTTTGAAATTATCAACTCACAGGACAGGAATGAAAACAAGAAAAAAGCCTATATGATATAGGCTATCAAAAGGAAAAATTCACATATCACTGAAGCCCTAAAAGTAGAAGGGAAAGAAGGGGACAGAAAGTTTACTGAAGAAGTCATAGTTAAGAAGTCCCATATCTGGAGAGATAGTTGGATATCCAAGATCTTCATTATCATAGATAACCAAATGAAATCAACTTAAAAGAGATCACCTCCAAAACACACTATAATAAAATTGTCAAAAATCAAAGACAAAGACAAAATCATAAAAACAGCAAAAGAATGCTTGTTTCAGCAGCACTTTTACTAAAACTGGAATGGTATAGAGATCAGCATGGCCCCTATGCAAATGAATCCATGAAGCAATCCATATTCTGTCCTGCGACTCCTTGCTGAAGATTCGGAAAAGCCATGAGTCAAAGTACAATGTATGGCATTCAATAGTGAAATTATGACTCCAATATAAAAATATTCATGTGAACCTATTTCCCTAACTCATATACAGATTTGTATACCAATATCACCACAATAAAGGGAAGGGGCCTCCCTGGGGTTAAGTGTGGGTGCTATCACCTCTATGGCCTGAGTTCAGCCCCCAGCCATGGTCTAACCCCATATGGCACAGCAGACCTGTCCTGTCTCACCTGCTGCTCCCCTCAGCAGTGTATTTCAGTAAATCTGCCTGTTTTGTCCCCCACTCTTGTCACTGGTGAATCCTCTCACCAATCCCCCATACCTCTGCATTCCAGTTCTTCAATGCAAAAATAAAATTTTTAAAAGGAAGGGAAAAATAAAACAAAAAACAGCAGAAGGCAAAATACGTACAACTTATAAGGGAATCCCTGAAAGAGTATCAGCATGTTTCTGAGCAGAACCCTGCCTGTCTGTGACCATGCAGGTACCTCTCTTTTCCTTTCCTGATAAACTTGTCTTTGAAAAAAAAAAAAAAAAAGAGGGAGAGATGAAAATTTTACCAGACAAATAAAAGTATAGGGGGTTCATTACCACTAAACCTGCCTTAAAATAAATGTCAAAAATAAATATTCATGTGAACCTACTCCCCTAAAGTTCAATGTGTGTACATTGAAGAACTCTTAGTTCTTCAACTGAAATAAAAAGATGCTAATTAGAAACATGAATATAAACAATGCAATGGTAAATTTAAGTATTAGTCAAGTTCAGAATACTCTGGACACTGTAAAATGATTAGTGTTAAGTCTAGTCTAAAGACTAAAGGATAAGAGTATTAGTAATTAACTAAAGCTGGAGAATGCAGAAAAGGGAGCAGAGTGAAGACAACAGGCTCTCATCCTCCGTGTACTCATAGCTAGAGTGCAGCAGAATAACTCCTGGAGGAAAAGCAGATGATTACAGGACACAGTAGGAGCAATGTCCAGAGAAGGGGGGTCCAGTAAGCAATGGAATGGGCCGAGCAAGTAGCCCAGAAAGTGAGGTGACATCTAGAAGCCAGGCAAATCCCACAAATAAATAAACCAGAACTGACGAGTGGGCCCCATCATGGTAGGTCCCAATAGACGACCCCAGCTAGTCCCAGGATGAAATCTGGAAACAGCCTGCTGAAAGCTGCTGAAGACCCCACTAAGTCCTGAAGAAGCCTTACTAAAGTAGGCTCTGAGATACCAGGAAGCCCCCAGAGAAGAGCTGGAAGTAGGCCCTGGCAGACCTCAGAAAGCCCCAAAAGAGGACCTCGAAGCAGCCTTCATCACAGTAGGCCCAAAAGATCACAGTGATCCCTGTGGAGGGTCCTGGAAGGTGCCCAGACACTGTAGGTCCTGACAAGCAGTACAGCAGGCCCTGCCAAGGGATACAGCTGCAAAAGGACAGAGCAAATGTCATAGCAGGGACTGGCTGCCACTAGCTGTGACTGTTGCAGCAGAAAGCAAGAGGGACATTGTTTGATGAGATAGTCTCATGGATAGGAGTGGGATTGAGTATACTTTATACAGTAGAAATGAGTGCAGACTTCAAGAGGGTTGACACCAAGAGTGATTCATATATCAAATAGGAGGTGGATGGAGAGAGGAACCTGGGGGTTCTGGCCTGTATTAGCAGATAAGAGTGTCAGAGCTGCAAGTTCAGCCAGGGGTACTTTGGAGCGGAGTAGAAGTTGTACGGAGGCACGCTCCCTTGAAAAGGATAAAACCTTATGAAAGAGGTACAATGTTCCACATAGGTCACTGTTAAACACAACAGCAGAACACTATTCTAATCTGCACTCCACCTCTCCATCCCCCCAGGACTGAGTCTCTCATCCCAAACCCCAGAGAGGAAGAATACTGGGGTGTCAAAAATGAACAAGCCCCAATCCAATTCATACATACCAAATTATTGGACATATGCTCTGAACTCTAGGAGTGGAACTGCTAGGCCAAATGGTAATTCTATGCTTAACTTTTGAAGGAAATTCCAGACTGTTTTCCTTAATGGCTGCACTATTTTATAATCTCAGTAGCAATGTATGAAGGTGCAGATTTCTCCATATCCTTGTCAACACTTGTTTTCATACTATTGCAGTAAGTGTAAAGTGGGCTTAAATTTGCATGTTCAGTGTGGCTATTATCCATTTAAATCTTTTTTGAGAAATGTCTATTCAAATCCTTTGCCTACATTTTCTTTGGATTTTTGCCTCTTTATTGCTGTATAATTTTTTTTACATACTCTAGATACAAGTTCCTTGGTCTAGGCATAGTCTAAAAGTTTCCTAGATGATTCTCCTACACAAAAAGTTTCACAACTTTTGACACAGAAAAAGGCTGCAAACCGATCATGCCAATTTTTTATTCTAAGTTCTTAAAGGAAAATTACATTCTTTATCTTGTATAGATATGTCAAATTATGAGGAGTGTAAAAAGAATGATTAATTCCTCAACGAATTATCCTCAAAATAAAACTAGATCCCCATCTTCTAATGCTTCTCAGTAAAATGGCAAAAACTGCTTCTTTTTGAAATGAAGATCAACTATCCCCTTGGGGGGAAAAATTTGTGATCATGTTGTCTGAACCTTGGGAGTATATGAATGAAATAATCAGGTATAAGGCTGGGCACCCAAGGGTTCTATCACTGAACATGTTTATTAAACAACATACAAAAGACAAGTACAAGAATTCACTCAAAATAAGATTAGTTGTCAAAAAAAATTCATTCACACTTATATAAACTTTTAAAGCCTTTAATAAAAAATAGCCTCTGCATTTCTCATATGATGTAAGGAGGACATCTTAACTCATATCTGAATTGCTTCCTTCTCTCATCAAGTCTTCCCTTATGAGTTTGTCAGTAACAAACCATTCAGAGGGAAGCTTCACTTCTTTAAAACAGTGTTTTAGGGCCCTCCCTGGTGGTGCAGCGCATTAAAGCACTGCACTAAGAAGCTCAAGCCAATTCCGCCTGAGTTCGATCTCCGCCTGCCCGGGAGGAGATCCACATGGCGTGGCAGACCTCTCCTGACCCGCCCGCTGCTCCCCTCAGCAGTGTACTTCGTGGATCTGCCTGTTCTGCTCCCCACTCTGTTCCTGGTGAATCTTCTCACCCTCCGCATCTCTGGTCTGTACCCCAGTTCTGTATGAATAAATAAATAAATCTTTAAAAAAAAAAGTGTTTTAAACACAGTGTGGACTAGTAAGAAATGCAGATCCTCAAGTCCCACACTGAACCTTTGGATCAGAAGCATGGAGGATGGGTTCTGGGATCCTGTGTTCTAATCAGCTGAAGAAGTAATTTCATTACAAGCCAAGGTTTCAATACCACTGCTTTTCAATAGTTTCCTGACATTTCCCATGTACATATAAAAAAAGATGGCATTGTTCTTTAACACTGAGCAGTCCCCACACATTCCTTAATGACCACAAGGCACCAAGAGTCTCAATTTCTTCAATCCAGATGATTTCTATATTCCACTGGGCAGACCATGTGAATATCCCAACATTAACATTTTCAGCTTATAAGAACACCAAAAGCATCAGATGGAGGGGCATTAGGGAAAACGCCATTACACTGCTTTTCAGCAAGACCTATTTTAACAGTTTCAAAACAAATTGTAGAGACCTAATGACACCTCAATATGCTTATGTTCATTCAGCTATCTGAATTCAGATGTTCTTTATTAAACCCAGCAGAGTCAAATGCAGAGATGGAACCCATATAGTTAAAACTCTATAATGTAGGCATTTCTTTCAGTGAATGTCTTCAGGAGTGGGTAGGGGTTAAGAGGCTGAGTTACTCAAATCTGCTTACTGCTTTGACAGAGGAAGACTAAAGCTCACAAAGCCCAAATACCTAAAGCTAGTTACACTGGGAACAGGTGTGACGCCTTAGTGAGAAGGCCAGCCAGGCACACCACCTGGACACAGGAGAAGGTGAAGAGGACAGCAGTGCAGGGGTGCTCTGTGAAACCAGGAACAATGTCACTACTTCTGTCATCTTTCTCAGTTTGTGTATCCCCAGGTGGGTGAATCACCAACCTCACACACGACAGCATGATTCTCTTCATCTTGGGCTTCTATTAGTTCAGCCAGGAAGTATTCACCATAAGTCGCCTTCAGAATTGTGTCATGGTGCATAAATATTGGCATGAGATCATCATGGTCTTCGACTCTGTTTAAGGGAAAATCTGAAGTTTAGTGTTTGTTCATCCAGTTGGTTCTTCAATGGAGTATCTATTATGTGTTAGACCCTGTTCTAAATGACAGGAATTTAGCAACATGTTGATAAAAGGAACTTACAGTCCAGTAGGAAAGACAGACAATAAAACTTAGCAAATACTGCAACAAATATATCATTTTAAACATTTCAATTAGGATGGAGAGTAAGGCCCTCCTTGTAGCACAGTGGGTTAAAAAGCAGCGCTGCAAAGCTGGCCGTGGCTGCTTCAGTGACAGTGTGAGCCCCACCCTGGAGGTGATTCACATGGCGTGGCAGACCTCTCCTGTTTTGCCCACTGCTCCCCTCAGCAGTGTACTTCATTGATCTGCCTGTTCTGCTCCCCATTCTGACTACAGTGAATCCTCTCACTGCCCTTGCACCTCTGGCCTGTACCCTAATTCTGTATGCATAAATAAATAAATCTTAAAAAAAAAAGAGAGAGAGAGAAAGAGTGATGGTGTCAAGTGGTCAGGAATGATTTCTCTAAGGAAGGCCATCTGAGTCGAGACCTAAATGAAAACAAGGGGAGGAAGTAAGGTTAGAAATGGCAGGTGTAACATTCCTGACAGAGGGAACACACTTGTCAAATGTGGGTGAGGCAATCTAGGGTTGCATTTTTTGTGGGCCAAAGGACAAAAAGCTGGGACAGCACATCCCAAATGTGTACCAAGGAACACTACTTCAATGTCCTCGGCATCTCTTCTTTCTCTCAAAAGAACTTCACTGTTTAAAAACAATTACTTTCTACATAATTCCTCCTGGAGCTTCACAGTGATGCATGAAAGACTATGAGAAAGTGCTGTAATAAGTAATATTTAACTTTATTTATCCATTTCTCAAACACTGGTCCATGAGAATTGCTGTACTTTGCATAGGGCAGAAGATGCTGACTTGAAGGTAATGGAATTCTGTTTACCAGCTTAGGCACATTCACCTCAAACCTGCATTCTCAGGACCCTTTGAGTAACTGTGACAACCAATAAGAAGTGGTGGGCAGGGGACCCAAGAACTATGGTGATGCTGACCCTTTGACTCTACTTTGCTATCATGTTTAGTATCCCTTTCTTGTTTTAGTATATTCTTGGTTAAATTTCATGATCTATTTTATTTGTCTAGAATTCTTTTATACTTTTTCCCTAGTACTTTACTTATTAAAATATTCCATATTTGTATTAATTATTTATATATCTGATGTGGCTGCCACCCTTTGTCCTCTCTCTCCTTTATTTCATTACCCTGACAGCTTCTCTACCTCATTTTCTAATATTTTCTTTTTGAAGCTAATGGTGGCTGTCTATTGAATGAGTAGTATTCATGTGAACTACAGGGTTTCATCCAAGTTACTCCTGTTGTTATTCTTCTTATAGCAAACCCAGGAAGCAGCCATCATCATCTTTACCCCACAGATGGAAGAAAGCAAGACTCAGAGGGCTGATGGAATGCTTTGCCTGATATTGCAGAGAAACTTGGCAGCAAAGTCATGAAAAGAACTCAGGTCACTTGCCTTAGTCCCTGTCATCACATACTACACTGAGATTACAATACACTTTAAAAATCTTCTTTAGACACTTACTTGAATTTGTATCAGGAATAATAGTTGAGAAGAAAAACAGTTATGAGAAAAATCTTTGGTTCAAAGGCCAGAGGTTGACACTGTGGACCACCCAGTCATCCTCTCCACAACTCCATGTTCCTGGAAAGTGTGCTCACCATCTTTCTTCCTTCCAACTATTTCCCTGTCTGGCATCATTATCCCCTTACTTATTCTAAAATCTAGCATGTTCAAAGTTCCTCTCTACCTGACACCTCCAGTGCGTCATCTTCCCATTTTCCTTTCCCAAACACTCAACAGCAGGGACATCACTACATATCCATTGTCCAGCCTTGGTGTTAATTTCAGTGAGGGCATGTTCCCAAACTAAGAACATGCTCTATGGAGACATATTGGTATTCTGTGTTTCTTGTGACAACTCTTGGAACAAACTCTGGCCAAGCTCTTCTGAGCCCTTTCTCAACCTAGCCATCAGCCTAGAAAGATTTGAACAAACACCAACATAGTTTCTATCAATTCAATGCCACATCATGTATATTCTGTCTCAGAATATACTAAAAGGAAATAATAGCACTGGCTGGAAAAGATATCTGTAACCCATATACACAGCAGCATAATTTACAATAGCCCTTGATATGGAAACAACCCAACTGTCCATCAATGAATGAACAGAGAAAGACAGAACATTTTCAATAAATGAAGTTGCCAAAACTCAACAGCAACATGCAAAAGAATGAAAGTAGACCACTAGTTCACACCATACACAAAATCCACTCAAAATGGGTAAGATGTAAAATGGATAAAAGATCTTAAATGTAAGACCTGAAACCATAAAGTGCCTAGAAGAAAACCTAAGCAAAACTCTTGATGACATAGGTTCATAGGTTAATTTACATATACCATAGCAAGGAAAACAATAGAGAAAATAAACAACTGGGCTACATAAAACTATAAAAACCTGCTACACCATCAAAGAAATCATAATTAAAATAAATAGACAATCTATGGAATGGGAAAAAACATTTGCACACCACACAAGTAACTATCAAAAATCTACAAAGAGCTCATACAACTCAACAAAAGGGAAAAAAAACAAAAAATAATAACCCAATCCCCCCCCCAAAAAAAAATGGGCAGAAGAGGCAAATAAGCACCTCTTCAGAGAAGTGTTAGAAAAGCTATCATCAAAAAGACATATGGTTGGGCCCATCCTGGTGGCACACACAGCACTATGAAACTATCACAGCCACTGCAGCATGAGTTCAGTCCCAGTCCAGGGAGGTGATCCACATGGGGTGGCAGACCTCTCCTGACCTGCCCACTGTTCCCACTCCCCCCTAGCAGTGCATTTCAGTTCATCTGCCTGTTCTACTCCCCACTCTGTCTCTGGTGAATCTCACCCCACCCCACCCCTGGCCTGTAACCCAGTTCTGCATGCATAAATAAATCTTTATTAAAAAAAAAAAAGACATGGGCAACAACATATGAAAAACTGCTCAGCAGCACTTATCATCAGGGAAATGTAAATCAAAACCACAATGAGATACCATCTCACACCTGTGGAAATTGTCCGTATCAAAAAGACCAGAAACAAGAAGTGCTGGTGAGGGTATGGAAAAAAAGGAATCCTAATACACTTTTGGTAGAAATGTAGACTGGTCCAATCCCTATGAAAAGCACTATAGAAGTTTCTCAAAAGACTAAAAATGGATCTTCCATATGATCCAGCAATTCCACTCTTTCTTAGGTATCCATCCAAAGGGAAAAAAAACACTAACTGGAAAGGAAACCTGCACCCTATAGCAGCACTATAATTTATAAGAGCCAAGCTATGGAAACAACCTAAATGCCCAAAATAGTTTAGTGGATCAAAAAGTAATACACACACACACACAATGGAATACTACTACCAATCAAAGGAGTTACACTCATGCTATTTGTAGCAACTTGGATGTAGATGGAAGGTATTATGCTAAGCAAAATAAGCCATAAGGAGAAAGATAAAGACTAGAGGGCGTCACTTAAATACAGAATTTAGAGGTACCATCAAATGGTCAAAGACCATTTAAAACTCAGACCACAGGTCTGAGACATCCAGAGAGGGAGGGAGAAAGGAGAGACTAGGGTACAGAGAAGGCATAACTATGATGAAGGACTATGGGTACCTTGGTGGTGGGCTGCCACAAAGACTGTACCTGGAAGGGGAGATTCTATACTTCCAAAATACAAACAATACTGTAAACCAATGACACTACAATAATAAATTTATTTTTTAATGTGGCATATATATGGATACACATACGGAGATGAGTATTAATCAGCTATAAAATAGAAGAGAAACAGCTACTATTTGTTACAAATCAATGGAACTTGAAGACACAGATAAGAAAAATAAAGACAACTATAAATCAGAGATATTCTGTCGGGGAGGAGGGTGAGAAAGGGAAAGAGGGAAGAGCACAAGGGACTATGGCGATGGTGCATGGGTGAATTGGTGGTGGGAATTCTATGGGGACTACACCTAAGCAAAGAAAGCAAATATTGTACAAAAATGAATAATGATGTAAAATGTATATAAATAAATACATTATATATTTAACTAAAAAGAAAGATAAATACTATATAATATTACTTATGTTTGGAATTTAATGAGTTAAAAAAACACACACAGAACTTATTAAAAAAAAAAAAAAGATCAGAATTGTGGTTGCCAGAGGTGGAAGGAGAAAGTGAAATTGGGTGAAGGTGGTCAGAGGTACAAACTTCCAGTTATGACAACTTAAAAGAGATTTAATATGTAACATGATGATTACAATTACCAATGCTGAACGACAGATAAGAAAGTAGGCAAATAAGAAAGTTAGGACAATAGACCCTAAGAATTCTCATCACAAAGTATCTTTTTCTCTTTTTTATACATCTAAATAAAGTGATGTATGTTAACTAAACCAATCATGTAATCATCTCACAATAAATGTAATCAAAACAACTGTTGTACACCTTAAACACATCCAGTGATGTATGATTACTTCTCAATGAAAGTGAAAAATAAAACTAATTAGTGTATCCAGATGAGTTTGGCATGAACCAACCCTCTTCCTGATTTTTGTAATTTTTCACTTTCCTAACTCTACTTTCCCCTCACCCGTCCCATTTCCTCACTTTTCTTTCAAAGGCTCAGTCACATCTGCACAGATAGAAGGTCAGTTCAGGTCACAGTGGACACGTTTCCACTAACTTTCAGTAAGGACTGAAGGAAGGCAGTACTCCTGTACTGTCAGCTTTACTGACCTTCACATCTGCATACTCCAAAGCTAGGAGGAAGAGTGCCAGCCAACAGGGAATGGACCTGATCATGACAGGACCTCACCGAGTGTCCCATGTGCACTGATAGTGCTGA